AGGGAAAAAAATAAACTAAAACAACAAATGCTTTTGACCTTTATCATTTACATTAGAACAACACATTTGATACAAATGTTCTGATGTTATTGAATGTTATTGAAATAATAATGTTACATGAGGGTATCATTATTTTTTACACGTATTTCTTTTTTAAATCCACAGTGGAGGCCTTGTACAAGAACACGTACCCACAGTACATGCAGTACATCTACCTGGTGGCGCCCGTGTCCTTGATGCTCCTGAATCCCATTGGCTTTGCCCTCTGTGAAGTGCAGAAGTGGAAGAACCAGGAAAACCCTAAGCACAGCAAACTGCTGATTGTGGGACTGGTAGTTTTGCAGGTGGTAAAGAACCCAATAGTGTTCATGGTTGTCATCGGGCTCATGGCCCACTTTCTGCTGCAACAGTCCATTCCCTCCTTCATGGCCGGGTTTGTGGACGGCTTGGCCAACTCTTTCAGTGGAGCCGCCTTGTTCTACCTGGGTCTGACTATGGTGGGACATTTGACAAAACTCACCAGGTCCACAGTCGTCACACTGATACTACTCGTTACTGCAAAACTGTGAGTACATGAACAGTATTGTTTTTGACATCTGACCGATCTTGATGACTTTGCAGGTTTTTTTTAATGTAGGAGTGTAGAGGGTAAGAGTCAGCTGCAGGTCAGAGCTGTTTAAATATTCTTCACCAACATGTTGTTTTGTTCTAGTGGCTTCAGTGACTCAAACTGCTCTCAGACCGCAGCCCTTTCACCACATGGATGTCATTTAAAGATGTCACAGAGGAGAGTGACATGAGACATTTTTAATACCAGCCAAAGTCTCCTCCTAACATTAGGTTTAAACTGGTTTTTCCTGATTTTTTTTTTACAAACAGATACAAACTGTATTTTTATTTATGTACTTCTATTTGTTGTACATGATTTTGGTTATTTTCCTTGGCTCAGTACTGTGAACTGCTCAAATGTAGAACTCACGTCAGACTGCCAGAACATATGTTGTTATTCCCTTTGTCTTTTGAAGATTTAACTTCAGGACTGAAGGCCAGTCACCTACAGTAAGTCTCTTTGACAGGTTGTTATCTCAGGAATCCCAGACAACTGTGTCACTTGAACTTAAGTCATAAACTAAATAATACAATGCTAGGGCAGAACTGGTTTTATGAACAACAACTAGTTTGATTTGTTCTGTTAATTACCAATTCAAACAACAGACATGAGAAACTTTTTTTATTTGTTTTTTTTTCTCAGGCTGCTAATGCCCCTTATTTGTAAAGACATGGTGGAACTGCTGGACAACAACAACGGCAGCAGCTCCTCCAACCACTCAAGTCTGTCCAACTACGCCTTCCTTTACGGAGTGTTTCCCACTGCACCCAGTGTGGCCATCTATGCTGTCTATTACAGCACCGAGCTGGAAGTCGTGAGTCCTGTGCGACTACAAAGTTTGTTTCTGACTTGAACAACTTTTCTCTTTGTAACTCACTCCACATATGGTTATCTGACAGGTGACCTCAGGGATGGTGGTCTGCACCTTCCTCTCAGCTCCTATCATGTACGTTTCTGCCTGGCTGCTCACCATCCCGTCGATGGATCCCAAACTTGTGATGAATTCACTGCAGAACGTCAGCTTTAACATAAGCATCGTGAGCTTAGTTGCACTGGTGAGTCACCACTACACACTTATTAGAGTGATGTACTTTTCCTGTTTTGTTTTTTTTTGCTTGAAATATTATTAGTCTGTGTCCCACCAAAGGCAGCCCTAGGCCCACCAATCTGTATGCATAATTAGGGAACGACCTGTTCCTATGTTTGCTAAGGTTGTGCCTTTTTATGGCTTCACATAATAAATGACGTCACCTCCACAAAGTAAACAACTGGTTTGTGTCTGTCAATGTTTTTACCCCTTGTTTGTCTGTGGACAGGTTTGGACAACCGCTGTCATGTTTCTAAATAAGAAACTGAAGAGACTTCCTCACATGTTCACCATCAACCTGTTCTTAGCCCAGGTGAGCAAACACTGACACCGCCTTAGATAAATGTTGTTGTTGTTGCTGGTGCTCAGGATCCCCCTCCCCCCTCCCCCGCCTTAGATAAATGTTGTTGTTGTTGGTGGTGCTCAGGATTTTTTCCCCCTAGTTTCTCACCTGTATAGGGATGATCCTGTGGAACTTTATTGTGAAAGAAAACAACTTCACCGGGCAGGTGCTGACTTTCATGTTGTTGTGCACCTCACTCTACAGCACCTTCGTGTGGCCAGGTAAGTGGACTGCTCTTTTCATTTATCACATCACCACATCATACTGTGCTCTGTTACCCAGGTTGGTGTTAATGTATGAGCGTTGTTGGCTAACGCTATAACAGTGGGTTGTTTTTTTTTTTGTTTGTTTCTCCAGCTCTAATTGCGCTGTCACTGGCACTAATGAGAAAGTTTGAGGATCTGAAAGTCTCTTCAGGCATGTTTGTTATTGTGGGCTGGGGGTAAGTCGCTCAAAATAACAATGAAAAGAGAAATGAAACTTAACTCTTCGTCACTGAAATCCCACCGAACCTCTCCAACCTGAGTGTGTCTGAAATCACAGGGTTGAAACAGGAATATTTAATGTTTACATTTAAATGTATTGTAGTTTCTGTATTTGACAGTATTCTCAGTGATGTTGTCATATTTCTCATATGTTTACAGGGTTCCTGCCTTAGCTACTGCAGTGTTGCTCATTTCAGGAGGGAAAATGTCTGACACCATTGATTCTTCCTTCTTTTATGGTAGACCACAGGTAATGACACCACATTAAATAAAATAATTAATTATTTTGAGGATCTGCAAATAGGAGTGAACCAGCTGTGTTTGTGTGATTGGACAGATCATCTGCACCGTGGTCGTAGCTGGCCTCAGCATACTGCTGGGAGGAAGCTCGCTGGTGTGTCTGAGACGAGGAAGTTGGACCCAGAATGATCAGACTGGGGGAGAAAACTGTCCCACGGAAGATCTCATTGCTGATGTTGAGCCCCCAAACCAAACAGATATTGAACCAGTCACCACGTCAGAAGAGCTCAACAGAGGTGTTTATTTCTCCTTTTAGCAGGAATAATATTTGCAAATGCATTTTGTAGCTCGCATTTTTTTTTTCCAGTGTTGCTACCAAAATTCTCAAAGTCTTGTCTTTTCCATATTAGCATGCCTCATCTGTGACTGTGCAGCAGCCCAGCCCATGCCCGACATGATCATTAGCACAAGTATAAACAACACAACCACCACACCTGCAGGTAACGTGTCAGTTAGTGACATACCCTGGCCTCAACACTGTTTTTCAACATCAAACAACACAGTCATTTCACCTTTGTGTGTGCGTTCTGCTGCCCCCCTCAGGAGAGTGTGATATTAGATGCGAGTCCACAGAATGTCTCCTTGTCAAAGTGGAAGAGCTGCAGCAGACCACAGACAGACAGGTGGCCCGTCACGTGCTCCTGTGTCTGCTTCTGATCATCAGTCTGCTAGCTGTGAGTAAAATCTCTGCAGTAAAATCCACCTTTATTTAGACAGAAAGATTCTTTATAAAAAACTGTCTCTGTCTCGGTTTCTGTGTCACATCTCTCTGCTTCATAGTCATCTTCTGTTCAATCATCAGTTTTTGACCTGGTAACATGAACATGAACCTTTTAGTTACCATAGCCTATACTACCTTAATGACCATGCACACAAGAAAAACACATACATATTAAACAGAGGTGTAAATAATATTTTTGAATTTGAATTTTTCTATAATGTGTCTATATTTACTTTTTATAAAGCCAGTCTCTGTTTTCTGTTAAAAAGTTTGGTAAAGTCTCAAATGTATTTTTTTCCTGTGGTAAAGAAACTATTTGAGGTAAACGTTAAAGGTATCAAAACTGAAACTCCGCTGGTCTTGTTTTGACAGAACCTGTCCAGCTGCCTGTGGTTGTTTTTTAACCAGGTCCCTGGTAGACTGTACCTGGAGCTGCAGTTCTTTTGTGCCGTGGCCAACTACGGACAGGTTGGTTCCCCAGGAATGATTGATGAATTGAGAGAATCGACAACTTACTAATGTTATGACGTGTCCTGTGTTCCCAGGGTTTGCTCTCGTTTGCTCTCTTTGGTCTGGATAAACATATGATTTTATTACCATTTAAAAAGAGGTAAAATGAAAGTCTCAGTTAAGTTAGTTAGTTAATATTTTCATGTTTCATATTTGTTTCTGTGGGTTTCACTTGTTGTTTATTTCTCCTAAATCAACTTCAGGTTGTACGGGCTGTGGTATGGAAGAAAGCAGGAAGAACAGCTTCAGTGTCATTTACCAGAGCACATCAGACTGACCTGCACCAAGTTCACAAAATACCACAAGGAGCAGTGTTTTCATGATATTGTTAAAAAGAGGAGGTGAGAGACAAATGTGAGATTTGTTCAGATGGAGGTTAAAAAATAAAGAAAAAAAATCACTGACAAATCAGTTGACTCTGAATCAGTATGGATAATTATGGTCATAAGATGTAATTCTAAATGACATAGAAGTATAATCCAAATTGTTAGTACCGGTAGTTGTAGCACTAAAATCCACAAACAGCTCTTCATATTGAATAATAATGGACCCCCGATTTGAGCTCCACACATCCACAGGCAGGGGCTCTCCCCCCACCTTGGCACCCCTTTTATTTGTAAATGTATTTATAATTTTAAAATAATAATAATTATCAGGGCGGAAAGACAGATGTGAAAGAGGAGGGAAGCGGTTAGATAACACGCAGTGAGTGGATGTTGGTTTCAACAAAGGTGGAAGTGATACTTTTACAGGTGTTTCCAGAGAATTAAACGTCTGCTTAGGTTTCTTTTTTGTTTTGTTTTACACTAACTGAGCTTCAGCCTCACGTGTGTGTTCATGTGTGTGTGTAAGGGAACAGCATTGATGTTACTCTGTGAGCATAACCTAACACTGGTGTCAGTGGGTTCTTGGTCTCCTTCTCATCTCTGTTTCCTCCTGCTCCTCTTCACCACCAGGTGTGGGAAAAGCTCAACGGTGGACTGTTTTCTTGGCTGTGAATTGGTGGACTGGCTGCAGCAGGTTGGTTTGGCTCAGGACCGCGGTGAGGCAGTTCTTTACGGGACGCAGCTACAGCAAGGCGGTGTCCTCCAGCACATTGGTCAGGAATACTGCTTCCAAGACGGGCGCCTTTATTACCGCTTCATCACATGACACACTGACTCGCAAAGATAAGAGACAGCAAAGATTTACTCTGAAGAGTAAACAGTCTGTCACTTTATTGCACTATTGTTTAGTTTGCACCAACATGTTTTTATTTGGACCCAGTCAGGACAGCAGTTCAGAGTATTTGACAGAACTGCAGGTTTTTAACCTTTTAGCTAAAAGAGAGGTCTATTATTTAATGAAGGTGTATTTTAACTCTGAAGTTGTTACAGTTCTGTGATTATAGTACTTATACTGACATTCAAGGACTTCATGTTCCCAAACTAAATAAGGCAAAAACATAAGGCATGAAGATCTTTAGTATTCTCAAAACTCGTGTAGAATATCCAAATTAAAATTACCCATTTTATGGCTAATCACATACATAGTAATCCGTTGCCAAGAAATAGCTTTGTCAGCTCAGCTTTCATAAAGGCAAGTTTCTTTTTAGAAACATAGTCTTCCTACTACATGTGTATGAATGGGTATCAAAGGGATCAAGGTTCTTGTTGTGTTGCATGGGTAAGGATATTTTGAGCATGTTTACTTCCCCTTTAGTTCTGCATGGCTCTAACCATTGGCCAGAATTCAAACAGCAGAAGAAAAACTGTGTTGAATCAAATCTTCTTTAACTTATTCAAAAGGACATTTAATGGAATTTAAATACAATGTCAGAATCAGTGAAACCTTTAAGACTATTGACTTTGAATTGTCTAATTTCTCTCAGTTGCACATCTAACACCACACAGTGAGGTGTTTGAAACTGAAACTGCAGCTCCGAGTGCAGGTTAATGACCTTTTATGTGATTTAACGTACATTTTAAATATACTCCTGAGCTAGTTAATAAGACAACTTGGTAACAGAACATTAAAAAGAAATAGACATAAAGCCGCTGCTACAAATGTCAGTGAGTCAGTCCTTTAGTTCTGAACAGGGAAAACCTTTAAAGAAATATTTATGGTAATCTGATCATTCATTTTACATGTCTCTGCTCCTAATAACATGGAATGAGGCTGTTTGTTGAACTATTAACTCATTAACTTTGTCTGCACTTGGATTTTCTCTTTGTCGTCTGGCTGGTTAAAGACTTATTATCACCTGGGCATTTGAACTTTGTGTAGTTCTATTGTGTTCCACAGTGTGAACAATAACCACGAAAACGCGAGACATTTGAGGCACATTTTATAGTATTTTATTCTATTCTATTTGCCAAAGGAAAGTGGTTTATTTTAATATATTTTAGTTCTATTTTTAAAGGTTGGTGGTACCGTTGAGTGACACTGAGTGTGAATGCGAACTATCATTATTTTACATGGAAAGTTGGTGATGTGAAATTATGATTGCACTGGTTATCTGAACTGTGTGAGTTGTGCAGATAAAGAAAGTTGGAATTAAATATTTTGGTGCGCTCATGATTTTGCACCTTATCAGCACGCAGGCTTTTAATACATTAAAGAGGCTCTGTGCTGAAGACAATTTGTCAGAAATCCAGTATTGTAATACTATCTATCGCAAGTAATTCAAGTGATAAAGTAAACAGACTGAAAGTGTCTGAAATTCTATGATCCTGCTTTACTGTGTCATAAATCTACAGGGAAATAAAACAAATATTTAGTCTTAGCATTATTTCTCTGCTAATTTCCAACATATCTGATAATTACTTTTTTACAAATGCTGAGATTTGAGTTTTTAAATGATAAATTAAATAGATTTTACTTTTATTTAATAAAGCATTTGCAGAAATGTTCTGTCAGAAGCTACATATTTATGATTTTGGTTTAGAATTAAATGTACAATAAACCTTAAAATTGTGGTCTTCGTTTTCTTTGAGCCAAACATAAGGCTCTAGTTGTCGTTTTTCAATTTCTTCAGACAAAGGTCATTTAAAGTTTTTGCTGTAAAAATCCACCTCCTTCTGGACACAGCTGGGAAACAAATCCACCAAAAAATCTGGTTGATCGATGCCATTCGAAAGAATCTCTTCCATCTCTGTCAGTGACTTCTTTTCCAGCTGCCTCATACCGTCTGTGATCTTCTTTCCTTTGTCCTACAGAGAAACAGGACATTTTATATAGATGTCCACAGTGACTGCATTAAACAAGGCAGTTGACATACAGGCTTGAGTTAAGTGTCAGACCTTGTATGAGTCGATGGCAGCTGCCACAACCTCATGCTTGATAAATAATTCATGTCTGCGGTCAGGTTTACTCTGGAAACGAGGTTTCTTCTTGACCGGATCATTTGGACCGTAACACGGAGAAGTCGTCAGCTTCAGCTGATGAGCATGTTTTACAAAGATGAAGGGCTTAAAAACTGACCTGAAATCAAAAATATTTTTAAAAACGATCATATATATATTCAATGTTTCTCCAATCAATTGTTTTTGGAAACAAAGACCACGTATCATATCTGGCACAAGAGGGCACTGTCTACAATCAGAGCAAAAAGCAAGTAGAAGTTGGAGGCTATTATTGCATTTAAAGAACGTTGAAAATCTTTGACAACATTTATGATCACTAAAGGCAAGAAGGATTTGTCCCAGTCCCCTATTTGTAGCAACCTCTACAGAGGGGAAGGAGAAGGGTCGTGCCCTTTATTAACTGAACCAAACCTGCATGTTCTACTTTAAAGTTCTTTACCTTTCTGGGTCTGGAGTAGCTGTGAAATAGTGAACTCCTGGCAGGTCAGGGTTGGTGGGAATCACAGACACCATACTTCCTGCACTCAGGAACATCCCCTCCATGTTGATGCCACTGTCTTTATCCCTCAAAATATCCATCATGGTCTCAGCAGTGATGTGACCTGTAGAACATGAACGACGACGAGTATAAGATAAACACATACCTTTGTCTAAAACAGCCACACATGACCGCTTTAAAGAAAGTTAACATCAAACTAACCGCTGCTCCTTTCCAGCAGCTTTTTGCCGTCGTAGTATCGACTCCCAGCAGCTTCTATCCTGGCTGTAGTGGTGAAGGAGTAGACTGTGGCAAAGTTGAACTGGGATTTTCCATTCCACCAGCCTTTGCTCCGAGCGTACTCCCTCATCCCTGGATGTTCCTTGTCTATCTTTGTAGTAATGCTATACTGGTTTGAGATGTTTCGATATCCCCCTACAGGAGAATATGAAACATGTATTCATTATAAGTTAATGTATATACAGTAAATCAAAAGCTATAGCTGAGGTGCATATGCAGAAACGGGGACATTTTACATGTTTGATCCTACAACGCCCTCTAGTGGTACCATTGTGAAAAGAACTGTAGGATTAGGCGTGGGAAGTATTTCGATTGGTCTTCCTCACCTTTGACTCTTTCAGCAGCCCAGTACTTCCCTGATGTTTCCAGCAGCCAGGCCTCCTTCCTGTCTGTGATAAGGAAGCTGTTGTGGTAGGTGAAGCCACACTGGTCCTCCATACAAGCTCCACCCTGACCATATTTCTCCAGCAGCTCTGCTATGACATTCACTGCTTTCTCAGCTTTGTCAGCTCTCTCCAGTCCCAGTCTGTACGTCAGCAAACACATTCCTTATTTCTCTGAGTTTTTGTCTTGCCTCTTGTAACTAAATAATAGCTGAATAAAAGAATACCATACACATGAAAGTAAGGAAAAGGTATTTTTTTCATGGCGTGTACCTGAGTAAGTCCATGCCCAGAAGAGCCTCGTCATCATCTGCACTCTCTCTGCCCCATACGGCCTCATTACCGATGCACACTTGATGTTCATTTGCACCCATCTCTGCTCCCCACATCCAGGCTGGTTTACTCAACACAACAGCGTATGTGTGGGGAACCTGGTCAACCTCTATGTATGTGCACTAAAAGGATGGACACAGACAGGACACGAGTGATGTCTGTCAGTGGAACTACATTGATGAGTTTATGTATAAAAGCTGATAAAGACAATGTATTCTGTGACCTACTTCCACTTTCTCCCCTGCACTGTAGTCTTTAGCAGGAAAATAAACAACCTCCTGGACTTCATCACATGGCCGGTCAGCGTTTTTCCCAAAGATGACACGGTGTCCCTCAGTGGAGGGGGGCAGGGCCACGAAGGTGTCACAGGAAGATGGCTGCATGGTCTCAAAGTTGTCTAACATAAAAACAGAGAATGATGTACTAGATAATAGCAACACTCACTTTCTGTGTATCACTATAATCACAGTCACTTTGTCAACATGACCTGCTCAGCTGCCCAACACCTTCTTTCTGAAAACCAGCATACCTTGTTTCTATAACATAATCTCAAACGTGGCTGTTCCCCAGACTTTCATCCATCCATCCTGGACTTAAATATTAAAAATCCCAGCATCCTTGTTTCTACCACCTCCAGTTCTGCTTCCTGTCACTGCTTGTCAAAACACCGCAGGTCTCATTACTATTCTTATACCATAACATTTACCTCTACTGTGAACTTATATGATGGGTTATAGAAATTTCAAATGATCAATCTTAACTTAAATCAGATGACATGTTCACATATTAAACTGTTCACAAATGCACGAAAAAACAGAACAGAATTATGTTGTCGGATGTACAGTTGAGTTAAATGTTGACGTCAGGTGTGACCTTTAAGGCCAGTCGTTCAGTGTACTTTAAACTTAAATGCTACTAATATTACAAGGATCCCGGTCTTACCTGCGTCTGTCAGTTTAAGTTTCTATTCTCATTTCAGTTTACTGCATGATTTCAACACATTCTCTCTCTGTGACACGGAAACACTTGGATGAAGTTAATTTCATTTTCTTTTTTTATTATTATTAGCGTATTTGGTTTTTAAATATTGACCCCTCATTTTGAATTGTGGGAAATCTATGTGTTGTTTCCGCCGTGCTTTTTGAGCAAAGACGTTTAAAACGTCGTGGTGACAGACGTGGTGACCCGGATGTATTCTTCGCTTCGCTATATCCACTGTGAATCATCTTTGCGTGATACGTTTGTTTACAAGCGGAGAAGCGGAGCTACCAACTTCGTTAGCTGTACTTGTTTTACTGATACTTTATTTTCATTTGAAGATAACTCCATAGGTCGCCAATATGGGGAAGTCGTTTGCAAATTTTATGTGCAAGAAAGATTTTCACCCAGCCTCGAAGTCAAATATCAAAAAGGTGAGTGTTCGCAGCAGTTAGGCTACTGCAGGTTAGCAGGCTAGCCATAGGCTAAATGTTGCTATGTCTAACATATAAGTATAAGTTTCAATTAATTGTCAGAAACAGACGACAGAAATATAGATGCCGTTTCGTATTTTAATTGCAATTTGGAAATGTAGCTGAACATGCGGTATGGGCAGTTGTGGCTTGATGGTTAAGGAAGCGGAAGGTTTCAGGTTCGAATCCACAATCCACTGAGGTACTCTGAGCATGGCCGTCCGCACACACTGCTCCCCTTGCTCATGTTGGTGATGAAATGCAGAGGTCACTTTTTGTTGTAATTCACGTTCATTTAATTTATTTGTACTATGAAGCTAAGGCTAAACTCTGAATGAATGCCTTTTATTAACCTGTTGCAGACTCGAAAAGGCCTGGGTTTTGATTAAATATAAATTATACCTTCTCAACAGCAGCTGCTCGTTTATCTTTATAATAAGTTATTATTTTAACAAGAACTATGTTAAATTAGTTTTCTTCATGTAGATACTGTGTGCCACATATTTATTTTTTATTTAACAAATGTTACATTTTTTTATTTCTTAAGAGTGTGTCACTACTGTATATGTACCAACATATTGTCTTCATATGTCAGGTATGGATCGCAGAGCAGAAACTGACTTATGACAAGAAGAAACAGGAAGATCTCATGCAGGCGTATCTGAAGGAGCAGGATACCTACAACAACAGGTTTGACATATAAACAATGCAGTTCGTCAATATAGTCAACTGCAGGAAATGTGATGGGTCAGCCCATCTGGAGAGTTTATTAATATTATTGGAGATTGTCTTTGAGGAGTGTGCAACACAACAAAGCCAATTTTATTTATTTCGTTTTTGTTTTTTTACGTACAGGTTGCTAATGGGTGATGATCGTGTTAAAAATGGCCTCAATTTCATGTACGATGCTCCTCCTGGTGCCTCCAAAGGTAAATGATCCCAGTAATGAAGTGTCTTTCATCCATTTTTAATGTTCTGCTCATTTTGATTGATACCATAACAATAAATAAAAATAAAAAATTAACTTTTTTTTCTCTTTTTGTTCTCCTCATTACTTGTCTTTGCCCAAAAGAGGAAGCAAAAGAGGTAAGAAAAAATATGTTACTTTTAGACATGTCATACGTTAATACCTCACACACACTAATGTGTGAATATCTGTTTTCAGGAGGGAGCAGAGGGAGGGGACGAATATAAATTTGAGTGGCAGAAAGTTGCCCCTCGAGAGAAGTAAGTTTTTGATTTTTTTTTTCTTTCCTTAATGCTACAGTATCAGTTTCTGTGTTACTTGGAATGTGCCATTGTTTTAACTTTTTTTTATCTTGTAGATATGCAAAGGATGACATGAACATTAGGGATCAGCCATTTGGGATCCAGGTGTGTAGTGATTGGTCTTGATGCAATTTTGTAGTTAAAACTCTTAATGTGATAAAGGAAAAAGTCCTTGACTGAAAAAAATGAATGTTTTTCTCTGCTTCTTAGCTTCTGCTACATATTAAGGGGAGTTAATTTAAAAGATTTTAAAACTGCTTCACTGCAAACAATATTTTATGTGACATAACACAAACATAAAATGTTGAATGCTCATTAATGACCAGTGAATGATGAGAGATGTGGTTGGATTTTGGCCATTAACAGTTTTAATATGAAAAATAAAATTACAAAGTTGTTAATAAAATGTTCTTATTTCCTGCTTTTATGTAGAGCAAGAAACTTCACCAAATATACTTTTCTTTATTATATTTATGGAGAAGGAAAAAGCATAACTTACAAAACTGAATTAAAAAAATATAAAAATGAGATGGGTTCAGTTTAAATTTCTTTGCATGACTGACATCTTCAGCCAGAGCACAGTGAGTCACATTTGCTGCTGTCTTTTCAGGTGCGCAACGTAAGATGCATCAAATGTCACAAGTGGGGCCACGTGAACACAGACAGAGAGTGTCCTCTCTACGGACTGTCCGGCATCAACGCCAGCTCTATGGCATCAGAGGAGGCAGCAGGTAGACAACGTAGAGTCACTGTGTATTATATCACTTTCAGTGCTGTTGTCTTTAGGTTTATGTAATATTAGAGTTGGGAAGTAATTTAAATAAGAATGAATCATTTTTATTAAATTTATCCAATTAATATCAACTTTATTTAATAACAATATTTTAAATTACATAGAAAGTTTTTCAATTCAAAATAATTATTTTTGATAAATCAAATCAAGATATTTATTGTGAAACTCAGTTTACACAATAAGCCCTAATGTAATAACCATTATGTCTGAAATTGTGTAGATTTTCCTGTTGCTGCCTAATTTATATCCTGCTCTGTGAAATGTGCATCTGTACAGAGATAGTCAGTGTTAAATGTGTATACATTCAGTGCTGGTCTGCACCCAGACTCTTCACCTGCTGGAACTCTCCTGTCAGGCTGCAGCTGTTGCTGCTGTTCTTTAGCTGATTCTCACCTCTGCAATCAGCAATAATGTTTACTTAGAGAGAGTCTGGTCAGTGCATGGTGTTGATGGTGGAGAGCAGTAATGGTCCTCCCTCTGTGCCGGAGAAAAAGAAAGCATGTAATTGTTGTGTATTCCTGTTCGCCCTAACTGCTGCTTTGGCAGAGAATGATATTGTTTGAATTGCTCAGCCGGAAGTGGAGTGAGTTGATTTGATGTCCCATTTTGTTAACAAAGCCCCCCCACCCACCCGCTGAAAATCCCCACTGTGGGGATTGCTGCCGACGCGGTTTTGACATCAATGGGACTCTGAGGCTGTGATCTGTGTTAACAGGTCCGTCGATGCACCCCTCAGAGTTAATGGCGGAGATGCGAAACAGTGGGTTTGCCCTGAAAAAATGTGTCCTTGATAGAAACGCTACTGTTTGTGATCCATCACAGGTAATTGTCTGTCTTTGTGCACACACACACACGCACACGCACACAGGACAACGTACAAAAACACAGTCGTTCTTTACCCTTCAGATAAGAGAGCAGCTGCCATGACATACATGCACTGAAATGTTGACACTTATTACTCATGTAATATTACATTACATTATCACAACATGTTTTGTTCCATGATTACACTGATGTGTTTCAATTTAATTCAAGAAAAATTAACCACATTCTGAACCATTACAGAATTTTGTTGCCAGTGAAGAAGAGGAAGATCCTGAGGTGGAATTTCTGAAGTCATTATCAACAAAACAAAAACAGAAGCTGCTCAGGTAAAAAAAAAAAATGAAGCTGAGTGTACAGTTGTCTATTTCCAAAACAAATTATTCTTCTATTCTATATACAGTGTATATATATGTGTGTGTGTGTGTGTATATCTTTGTGTGTGTATATATGTGGGTGTGTGTATAAGTTTTTATATATCCAAACTTATTCCATTGTAAGTGTGTGATGTTATTGGTGCTCCACAGGAAACTCGATCGCCTGGAAAAACAGAAGGCCAAGAAAAAGAAGAGCAAAAAGCAGAAGAAGAAAAGCAAAAGGAAACACAAGAAGAAGCGTGAGAGTAGCAGCAGCAGTGACTCCTCCAGCAGCAGCAGCAGCAGTGGTGATAGCGACAGCGGCTCAGATTCAGACAGTGACGATAAGGAGAAAAGCCAGAAGAGAAAGAAAAAGAGCAAGAAGAAAGATTCCTGTCGGGACAAGAGCTCCAAGACCGAACAACAAGTCAAGAGTCAGAGAAGGGCCTCTTCTCACAGGAGCAGGTCACGGAGTCCTCGCAACGGACCCAGGCGGTCTGAAGAGGAGCAGAGGAATTACAGGCAACCCCAGGCAGAGAGGGGAAGCAGCAGGAGTCGACATGGCAGCCCGGAGGGAGGTCAGGAGAGACGGAGACACAGCAGCAGAGACAGACAGAGGCCAGGCAGCTCCAGACCCGATTTGGCAAGAAGCAGGAGTCGAGACAGAGGCAGGGAGGACAGAGGTACAGAGAGGCGTCACAGCGGAGATGCTGAGAGGAACAGACACAGCACAGATGGACGGAGAGGCAGAACAGCGGCTGGGAGGAGCAGGAGCAGGGAAAGGAGAAGAGAAAGAAGTAGGAGTAGGGAGAGAAGAGAAACTAGTCCAGACAGAGGTAAAAGAAAACACTGATTTTTTTGTTTTTGTTTTTTGATCCAACAACAATGAATGAAACGTGTATGTTTTGCACACATCCCACCTAATGTGTGTGTGTGTGTTTTTTTTTTATGAAGTGTTCACACAGAAGTCGTGAATGCATGCAGATATTTGCAGAGCCATCTCCTTTTCCGTCCAGCAGAGGGCGGCAGTTCACAGAAAACATCGATATGCAGCTCACTGCTCTCTGCTGCCGTCCGTAGAACCGTGAGTGAAAGGCTCTAAATTAATTGATTACCATTAGAAGCAATTTGCAGCCAAGATCCGCTGGTGGCGAGAATGTTACATCCATTTTCCCGGTCATTTGGCTGCTGGAGACACTGTAGTTCTGTACGAGCTGCCATTTTTAATCAGGCTTTCATTACGATTGTGTCTTTTTTTGGGTTAAGGAAATCTCGACTGTGTACTTCTATGATGCTTGATAGAATATAGAATCTGTCATGTCCAGACTTTTACTGAATAAATGTTAAATCTTCCCATCTTTAATGACTGCATTTGGTGGAGGTGAATTGAATGTCGACACCGTCAGACTGAAGCGGAAGTCAATGTCCTTCAAACTCTGGACACCTGAGTCTGAAGGATCACACAATTCTACGCAGAGCAAATTTAGTAGTAAAAAATATTTATTTTTAAATTATTCATAAATTGTGTCTGACTGTCATAAGCATAGGAGTGCATTAAATACTTTTTAAATTATTTTTGACATTTTCTTAGAATTAAATAGAATTAATTCCACGCCTCTATCTGTCCAAATAAGTGCGTCAGTGCAGAAACTGAAACAAACGGAGACATGAATTATTATTTCAACATTTCTGTTTTAATTGCTTTGCTGCGGCAATAGCGCTTGATTTTCACTGTTTAAAATTTAAAATGAAAACATTTTTTTCACATGTAACATTTTTGTCCAGAAATAATGTTCGTGCCCGCGTTGCTTACAAAAAGTTAAATAAAATGAAAGCATTAATTTTAGATTATCTTTTTAAAATATATATATATATATATTCATTTTTAGTTTAAAACGCCAGTTAAATACCAAATGCGCCGTCAAAGTGCGTTTTATGCGTACAATTTGCCGCTAGTCTTTTTTTTTTTTTTTGGTCAACATTTGGATGAAATTCAAATTGGCAGCGTCTAATTTGATAGTTTTCACTTTGCCACCGTTTCCTTGAAGCCCCTGTTGCACAAAAGGGAAATGAAAATAATTTCCCCCCTCTATTGCCTTCTGGTCAATTTAACATCCTCTCGAGGGAAAAAAAAGAAGAAAAAATAAAGAGGGTGTCTGGATGTCTTTCCCCTGATGTGTTCCACGTCCTGGGTTTATTCCACCTAGTCTTTATTTCCCAGCTCTTTTCTCTCTCTTTTCTTTCCCGTGGAATCGGACGCTGCAGTGGGTAAGCACAAAGAAGTCAGGGAGCATCCTTCAAGCCTTTTCAATGCCAGGCCACTGATATTCAAATAACACACATGAAGCATTTGACTGCACCGAGATAAATAAAAAAAAAATCAGCATTTGCATCTTACTGTTTGCCTCCTTTCTTATTTTATGTATTTTTTAAACCTAAATTTAAGAAACAAAAATCCCAGAACATTTTTGTGGTTTCTGGCAAAGAAAAAAAAAGAAAAAGGCCTTACCCTTCTCGGTTCATCGATTGCTATGCAAATGAGCGCAGTTAATTTGGACAATTAGAATAAATATTCAGGGACCTTTGTCGTGAAAAACCCCACTGGAATAAACTGCAAGTGAACAAAAGATGCCTCGGAGATTAATTAGATATTTGATAAAACACGAATCCTCTAATCGCACGTACAACACACATGGGGGCTGCGATGTGGCTGCAAGTCATAATTAATACCATTTAACAGGATTTTCATTTGGCCATGAAATGTCTTTTCCGGGACATTAAACATTGATTTATTCCATAGGGGAAAGTAGAGTCAAAGTCGAGGTATTTATAGGCCTTTAGGTGAAGGGACAAAATCACATGTTCTTTTCTTTCTAAATAATTTCAGTTCTAAAACCCTAACAAATAACGCAACAAAAATTATATAAATTCTACATCACACAATTCCAGCATTTGCAACATGTTTTAATTACGATAAAATGAAAGCCGTATACGTGTAATTTTATACAGGTAAACATTTATATATAGATTATTAATTTTTTTGAGGCAAAGGAAATAAAATGGGAACCGAAGAAAAAACAAAGCTGTGTACATACATATCCACAAAGTGCGTCCAAAGTAAAACTCCCTGATTTCCAGGATTATATACGAACACGAATAAAACAACCAGAGCCTAAACATTTACAAGGAAAAAACACATTAAAGTTTAGTGGTGAATTTACAGGATGGAACTCGACTCTGTCACAGTCCAACCACAGTTCAACAGGTTTATTCTTCGCGCACCTTTTTCCCCCGATGTTTTTCCAGGTCCCTAAAACATTTCCAGAGGCCTTCAGTAAAAATAGACGCAGCTTTAATTGTTTTTTTGTTTTTCTTTTCTTTCTTTTCTGTTACTGAAACACGAATGTAAAAGTCTTGTAGCCTGTGGAGAATAATTTTAAGACATTGCAATTCTTCTTCAAACACCTTCTCCGTGTATCGTCTGTCAGATGATGAGACCCGTTTCAGTAAATCAGATTTATGATTATTATATATGTTTGGAGGATTGGAGCAGCCCGGTTCAGGGCTCGTCGTGAGGTGACGGGTCTTTGACGCTGATTCTGGGGTTTACTCCGTCCAAAATGAGTTCAGGGGACTCGGACCTGGGGGTCTCCAGGTTACTGGTGTCGGTGTCACTGTCGCTGCCCTTTTTGCCCCCGCCGCCGGCCGTGTGTGTTTTGATGTGCTTGCTCAAATGGTCACTGCGCATGAAGCGCTTGTTGCACACGGGGCAGGCGAAGCGTTTCTCCCCGGTGTGTGTGCGCAGGTGTCTCTGCAGCTCATCAGAGCGAGTGAACCGTTTGCCGCAGAAAAGCCAGTTGCAGACAAAAGGCCTCTCGCCGGTGTGCCACCGCAGGTGCGCTTTGAGGTGCGACGTCTTCCCGTACACTTTGCCGCAGCCGGGAATGTGGCAGCTGTGCAGTCCTTTCCTCCGCAGGCTCGCCCCGGCGGGCCCCAGCCGCTCGGCCTCCTGGCAGTTCGGACAGTCACATGTGGCTCTGCCGGAGTACCGCCGGGACGACCTCGAGGAGCTACTTATCCCTGAGCTGCCCCCGGAGATCATGGCGTTGGCCGCAGAAGCGTCTGTGTAGGCGGGGATGACCGTTTTGAAGCCGTCCTGCGTTAACAGGTGCTGGCTGGTGGACAGGAGGTGAGAGGCGGAGGGGCTGATCCCCGTGGAGCTGAACGCCGAGTGAGTCAGGGAGGAGAAGTCCGGGTTGTAGCCACTCAGCTGGGAGTGGATGGCCTGGGGCGTCCCGGTGTGCAGAGACGTCTGCAGGGTGCCCGCGGGGTTCTGGACGTCGAGCCAGGACCCGGGGTTCGTGTGGACGTCCCACCAAGAGGACGCTCCGTTTGCGACGTCGCCGGAAATGGTGGAGTGGAAACCGGACTTGTACCACGACTCGTACGGGTGCGCCATCCCGACCCGCGGGTACAGAGTCTCTGCGGAGGTGTGGACTTTGGAGATAAACGCAGACTGTCCAGATTCTTGCGTGGTGACGCTGGCAGTGTTGGTAAACAGACCGCTGTACTCTGTGGAAAACGCCGAGGAGGTCGGGGAGGTGGAGGCTAAGCAGAAGGCGCTGTTGCCTGCGCCGCTGGTCGGCGTTAGTCCTGTGGACGCGCGGCTCGTTGCTACTGTGAAGCCCGGCAGACTGGATCCTAGGTTGCAGCTGGAGGAGGATCTTTTCCACGGATGAAATCCTCCCTTGGAGAAAGCGCTGGAGTCCGGTAGAGTGGTGAGAGGACTGGTGTTGCCGATTTTGTTGCAGGTGGCTGCCAGCATAGCTAAAGGTGTAGTCCCAAACCGTGGCTCTTCCTGAAAACACAGGAGGAAAAGTTTGACTTAAAACGGGCCAACAGCAAACACGACATGGCCAAATCACACAAACAAACGACTCTCTCCACTGGTTATGTCATTCGTTATCACAGATAAATCAAAATAAAACGGAAAATGTATAAAGGGATAACAAAACCGCGATAAATAATCGATTTGCAGCACGTACAGTTAAAAACAAAGTCGCCAGAAAACAACTCCTTAATCTGGAACGTTTCATATTTACCTTAACAATGACAAGAACAATCAGATGTTGTTCAATTAAGAACATTTTTTTAGAATGTTGTTGTTGTTTTATCACCACCACTGACGATGCGTTTTAATAAGTCCCAACTCCAGAAAAAGTTACTTTACGCACAACTTTTAACTACAACCATACGGTCTCAGACTTACCCCAAGAATAGACGTAGCCATATCCAGGGTCTGTGTGCTGTTGTGAGCAGAGTTGTTCCGCGGTTTTCACTGCTGTCACGGCTCCAATGTGACTCCCTCTCACCGCATCCGACTTCGGGTCACACGGTTCCTCTCTTGGCTCACAGCTCTCGACTCTACCTAGTTGTAGAGAGCGTCTTCTTTGAAGTACAGCTGGAGAGGACGCCCAGCCAATCAGGAGGCTGTATTAGGGGCCTGGGGGTTGAAGTCAACCAATGGGAGAGCCGACCGCAGACAGAAACACCGAAGAACCCCGCCGTCAATCATGTGTTGTGCAGCTTCTGCTCACACTGTCATACAAGACACGATTTGGTATGTTTTTTTTATGTTTTTTTTTTAAATAATACACACACTTATTTTAATGTATCCTCACACGAGGGCTGAATGTCTGCTTCCATTTCAGAACAGATTTCTCCCAGCAGCACTCTGTACGAGGTAAGCTCTTCAACTTATTTCAGCAGATCTATCTCTGTGATACCGCGACACCACGTACGTCCACTTTGACTTCTCAATATTCACGTCATGCGATAAACGTCATTTGGGAAACTGTTGCTGTTCGGATGCAGATTGTTGTGAAGGATGCTGATGCTGCTGTCTTGATGCAACACCCGCCACCATCTGCTGCTGCTGCTGCGAGCAGATTAATCCGCTTTAAAATGATGAAATGATGCTGATGTTGGTCACAATTTAGTGTAAAAGTCTAAAAAAAAAAAAAAAGATAAATCAGAAGATATTGTCGTTTCTCATCATCTTGACTGAACCCATGTGGACACCAGCCGGTGCCGGGTTTCTCGGACGCGCACACCCGCCCTTTACCTTTAAAGGGGAAGTGAAGGGTTAATTAAAATTGACAGCTTCGTTTGTCAAATTTCCTCTCACGCACAAAAGTATTTTAGAGCTGAGAAAGTTTTTCAGTTCTGTGAGGCCGCCGCTCGTTTACACTGAAACCTATTTTACAGGACGCAACAAATCCCGAGAGTAAAATTATGTTATACGCATTATCACCCAGATTAACACATTAAAATGACGTAGTGCGTCATATTTTTTTGTCTTCTAAATTCTAAGGACTTTTGTTATTATTCTATTGTTTTCGTCCACCACCGTCACAGAGCCTGCGCGTTTCATATAGCTTCTTAAGTGCTCAGCAGATAATGGCTTAATGTAAAATTGGCCTGCTCTGTTGCTCTAAATCATTATCATTACCGACATCATCATTTTAAAAGTTAAAGCAATTTTCCACAGAAAGGCTAGCTCTAAAATGCGCAATATAGTTGTGGAAATGGGCAAATAATGCTCCATTATAGAGCATGAATGCTGCCAGTCAGCACAGCCGCAATTTAAAAGTCTAATCTCTATGATGCTGCTGATGCTGCTGCTGCTGCTGCTGCTGATGATGATTTTCTTCTTCTTTTTATTTATTTATTTATTTTTTAGTTAAAACCTCCACCTTTTCATGGGACTGAATAAAACTCCGTCTCATCACAAAACAGCAAGGAGCGCTGCGGAGAAAATGAAAATCCTCTTTGCAATCAGGACAGTTTGGTTTGGAGTGTTGTTTATCGGTGATAAATGTGATGCTGCAGCATACACAAACAAGTAAATAACGGCGTGATTCGGAAATTAATTCAAGTTATTTCCATTTGTGTCTATTTAATTAAATTACAAATGGTCCTTGTATTTATATATCAATTATTTAATTAAAAATGAAATTGTAATATAAAAAATAAAATAAACACCAGTACATTTAAATATCTCTAGAAACGGTTATATAAAATGAAAATAAAACCAAAACGTCAAACATGCCCACGCAGACGTCATGTTAATCTGCATGCAGCGACGTACTCCCTCAGATTTATTTAGACAGAAACGCGTTTGTGTCGTTCACCTGGATTAATAAGATAATGTCTCATTTTCAGAGGGATGTTTACCTGAGACAAAGAGAGGAGAGCGTGATCTTGCCTTGTCATTCAAGTGAGGATTTCTGAGTCGGATCTGTAATTCTGGACTCCATTCGTGCAGCACTTCTCTCTGGCAATTAGGAGCCTATTACAAGCCATTAGATTGATCAATGTACCTTAAACAATGGCAATGATTTATATGGTCGAACAAAACGTTCTGCACCTATTGTGATGAGTCTAAGTGGGACTGCATCCATCAACAGAAGATAAACGATTAATTCAGAGCCGTTCATTTAAATTCTCCCTACAATGACGGACTTTCCCCCCCCCCCCCCCTCCTTTATCCTCCACCCCTCTTACAAAATCCGTTTCTACATGGAATCAGACAGGGTGTGTGTGTGTGTGTGTGTGTGTGTGTTTTAATTTGTATTTCTACTGAGGGAAGTTTATTTGAGTACATTTAACTAATTGTGGTAATTCCGTGTGTTCATGTGGCTACACCTGTTTCTCCCAGAGAGGGCTGGAGGAACATGTGAGTGCATGCATGTTGTGTTTCATTTGGTGCTGAGGCTGAGGCTGAGTGCTGTCTGCCTGACTCCTGCGTAGCTGATCACAGGATGCATATTTATTAAAAGTGTAAGTGTATCTTATAATGTCTTACACTGATGCTTTTGAAATGAGAGTGATGTCAAAATGTCATGGTTCTATATTTTTCTGCTACAGTATATGTCAAGACATGGATCATTTTGTTTGTATGCATGGAAACACCAAAGGAGGAAAAATGATAGAAGTGCAGTGTGAAACCAAACGGTTCAAAGATAAGGAAGTGTGTGTACATGAAGGAGCTGTCAGCTCACAGATTGGACGTCTTCAGTTAGACAACTGTCAGGCTGATTCAGCCCAGGCTGCTGCAGCCAAGTGTCTGCTTAAATGTGTGCTTTCTGGAAAAGAAAGCAGGCGTTTTATTTTCGTGTGACCTGTCCTCATTGGTCCAACAGCAGCTCATCAACCTGAATTGATTCTATCGACAGCTAAATTCAGAGGCAGAGGTCAGCTCGCCAAGTTTACAGTGTCAACTTTCATTTCCAGTTGCTGCGTGTTCTATTTTGAGAGCAGCGAGCCAGGCTGTTGAAGTGCAGTCGACTGGTAACGTTTAAGGACTTGGCTTAGGCCATTTTCTCTCAATGAGTGTGGGGTTTTGATTTGGTTTTTTTTTGTTGTTTTTTTAAACTCCTAACCCGTGAGCTGTTGTGAGGACCTGGTGTCAGACATGTCTCCGAAGAAGGTGCATGTTATGGATCTGCTCCATTCAAAATAGGAGGAATGCACTGCAGGTTATGTAATGACAAGTGCACGTTCTGACTGCAGATGTCTCCACACTGTCTTCAATAGGGAAAAGGAGATGATGCACTGAAACCACCACCACTGATTGGAAGATTTGGAACCTCACTGAAAATAGGAATTGTTGGTCTGCCCAATGTTGGGTAAGTGAAAGATTTTCATCATGGAATGAACACCTCGAAGTGAACTGCACTGCAGCAAATGTGCTGCGTCCACGTCTGAACTGTACACGCCTTGTCTAAAACTATAAATATAGATACAGTTAAAATAAGGTGCTGCACGTGTCCAGGACATCTGCGTCTGTAGTCAGATCACATTTAATGTAACTGCACGAATATTTGCATGAATATTTACAATATTTAATATACAAATACATGTATCTGTATCTAGATAGATGCTTTTCAACACATTTAAAAATGAGCCAAACATTCTTTTTTCACAGTGCAGCAACTTATATTTACTACAGTCTGAACCTGAAGAACACATTTTTTGTGATATATAAAATTACATTCTTATTTTCAATGTAATTTTAAATATTGTAATGATATGATCATTTTTAAATATATAGTTATATAGTAAAAAATAAATTCACTGCAAAGTAAACATCTATTTTAATTTTTTAATTTTAATTTTGAGTCAGATTTCTTTAAACATTTTACCAATGCACTTGACTCCTGCATTCTTAGCACCACCTGCAGGGGAGAAAAGGGTGATTCACTTTTTAATAAAACTCAGCATTACAAAAATAAATACCAGAATACTCAAGACTACGTCCCAAAGAAAACTCATACCAGAATTCCTGTCTCCAGTGGTTGCTGTTTGAACTGCAGTTAGCATCTTTTCTCTGACGTCATCAGCATTTTTAAGAGGAGGTCGGTGTATTATTAATATTTTAACTGACTCACCCGGATAAATCATCCTTTTGTGCAACAGAAATATATTATATTTTCTGGTTATCCACATGGTAACCTTTGGAGACGGAAATGTAGCGATACTGTGAAATGATCAAGTCCTTTGTTTATTGATTGTAGTGATAATGAGGAGTCAGCATCTCTGTTATGGTGCCAGTCGTTGATCTCTTGACCTTAACAGCCACCATTATCTAGTGTTGTACAAAATTAGTGCAGTAGGAGTGAATGACAAGGGCACTACCTGTGGAGAGACCACTCAGGAGCAGAACATAAATCCAGCGGCATCTGAAGTTTCTTGGAAACGTTGTCGAAAAGTCATTTTCCTAGAAAAAGAAGTTTAAAAGTTTAAATACATGGATGTTTCACAGGAGAGATGGTTGTTGTATGAGAACAGTGTGTACGATGTGGTGTAGTCTCAGTCTTCTGAAGATGTCTCAGTAAGACCAGCACAGCCTCACTATTCACCAGCAGAGAGAGAGAGAGAGAGAGAGAGAGAGCATGAGATGTAAAGGAAAAACTAACTGCTGTATGTTGTGTGGTTGATGATGATTGTTTCTCTAACACCGTGGCTCCTCCAGCCTCACACTCTAATAAGGGACGTCACAGAAAGGGCAGAGGATTGACCTCAGTGGGAATCAGATGCTTGACCGTTTAAAGAGAAAGAGAAAGTGAGCGTGAGGCAGTTAAAGTGAGTGTTAATACACTGGGCCAAATGTCCATATGTCAGACCTGAGCAGACACATTCACCTTGTCAGCCTACATCCAGGACCTTGGGCGTCATCACTGACAGGGCGTAATCACTGGCCAGACGTAACAATGTCTCTGTTCTGCTTTGTTTTCTCTGATTTACAGAGGTTTTCATCAGTTCATCTGAAAGACTCCCATTGTCTTGTTTACAAATCTTACATTGACTATTGTTTTCAAGCAGCAGTTGACGGTTGAAAAGAAATGATGGGTGGATGGACGGACGGACGGACGGATGGACGGATGGAAGGATGGACGGATGGATGGATGGATGGATGGATGGATGGATGGATGGATGGGTGGATGGATGGATGGGTGGATGGATGGATGGACGGATGGACATAAATAAAATAAACCAGAATTTGTAAAGACTGACATTTTGACTCACTGCATGTCAGAAATGATTCCTGGGACGGACTTGTCTTAGATGGTCGTCGTGACAGGGTCAATGTTGTTCTAAAGACCAGCCAATGATATGGCAGTGTTGCACTTATTAAACTTTCACCATTCTGCATCATGGACCTGTCCTTGACTTGAAAAATGATCTGAATAATCAGTTCTTGAAGTCCCCAAAGACCTAATTATTTTATTTTTGCTCAGTTGTTGAACATGTTGTTAACAGTTCTCATGTGAAGACATAAATATATACCTGTGGACCACAGCTGTTTGATACTGACTGCCAACAATAACCACAGAGTTAATGAACTGATGTCTAATGTCATTAGTAATTACCACTACCTGGCCGTTTTTTTCCACTAATACCCAGTTTGAATTCGACATGTCAGATTTGAGGAGTTGCAGCGACCTGTTTGTTTATTTGGTTACTGTTTGTTTACATGTGGCTGGTTTTCCTGCAGCCGTCTGTGTAAAAGATCACATTTGTCATTAAAGCAAAGATGTACAGCAGGAAAAATGTAAAAAAGCAAATAAATCCAATATTTCCCTGTTCCTGTTTCTAACAGGATATACTGTACACACTCCACAGTTTGTTGTAGTACATTTTACTTTAAATCGATCTGGGAAGTGACGTTCAATGCCTTTAAATTTAAATCTAGAATGTTGGGATGGGAGTTTTTAAATATTTTTTCAGCAGATTAGGTTATTAATTAGGTTTGTTTCAATGTGTGTAAGTAATATGTGAATATTAAAAAACACACACACACAAACACCATGAGGGTCATATAGACATCATTGTGCCATGAAGCTCCTCCTGGATAGAATATTCTTCTATTTTAAACCTGTGTTTTTATGAATTGATCTGCACAGAGACAGTAACGAACATTTAAAATTGCTCTTACAAAAAAACTGTTACATCTGTTCAGGTTTTACGACCGTTGACTTGCATGGCTTCAGCCTTTACCTTGAGGTGACCTGACATGACGCCCTCAGAGACGTTAACAACAAGTTTATATGGAATGAATGCACTTTGAAAAACCACAGGGAAACAATCATTTCAATGAGAAGCACCAGGTCATGGGCTGAAGGTGGAAAGTCCTGGATTATACTTAACTGCTGTGCCATCATCGTCCTCTTCCACACTCACCTTTGTCTGTAGATTGTGAAGCACCCTTGAGCTGCTTCTGCATTAGAAAATAGATCTCTCTGTGATCACAACACGAGGCAGCGTTTGGCTCGTCCAGGCCAACAGCTGAGATCCAGCAGAAATGTCATTTGTCTCCTCATTTCAGGTACAATTGACCTATTATGGGATTATCCTAGCTAGCTGCTAATTGGTCCTAGTTTTTGGCAGTAATTTTTTTTTATTCAATTACCTGAATATTCAGCCAATGAGAATAACCTTTCCTTTATTTTCACCGTCTCTTGGTTTAATCTTACCGGATTATTCACTGGCTGCGTGCAGTGACACTTCCAGATGGTTTGACCTCTCCACTGTTTTTATTTTCAGGAAGTCGACCTTTTTCAACGTGCTGACAAAGAGTCAGGCTGCAGCGGAGAATTTTCCTTTCTGCACCATTGACCCAAATGAAAGTAGAGTGCCCATTCCAGATGAACGCTATGATTTCCTCTGCCAATACCACAAACCCGCCAGGTACGGAGTCTCGTCATTTATGAATTATTCACACCTCACGTCTGTAGTCCCTGACAGTCTTCCTGCTGTATAGGAGAAAAGGGACACGTGTGTTTCTGACATGTAGCTGCCGTCTCTATATGATGTATTCTGAGTGTCAAGTGTATGGACCGTGTCATATACATTTATAGAGGATGTTGCTCATCAATTACAAGGTGTTTGAATGACAAGAAAAACCGAACAGAGCATATTTTAAACTAAGAAGCTCCTTCTCAGTAACATCAGTCTCACAGAACAGTGGAATTAAACACATTTGTTCATTTAAATATGTTTTCTTTTCAGTCAGAAGTGTTGGACCATTAGACCGAACTTTAGCTCTAATGTTCCACCAACCATAATGTAGCCAAAAAAAAAAAATTGTGACATAAACTCAAAGAATTTTGAAAGTAAACCTTCATTTGGTTTAATGTAGGCGACAAATGACCTACAATTAGTACAATGGTAAAAAAATCTAAAACTTATAATATAGATTAATATAATATTTTAGGAAGAAAATACTAATATTGTTAATAGAGAGAGAAAGGAAGAAACAAATTCATACAAAATCAAGACATATCTGCGTAAGCTAGCGAACCCTGGTGAATGGATAGAATGTTAGCGTCTGTCACTTTTATCATAATTTCATCGTATTAATTTCCTCCAAAACATACAAAGTCTTCCTGTTAAATCCAGAGAGCTAATAATAACATACAAAGTCTTCCTGTTAAATCCAAGAGCTAATAATATGCTCTCTTTTTTTTTTTTTTTTTTTTTTTTTGGCTCTCAGCAAAATCCCAGCCTTCCTTAATGTTGTAGATATTGCTGGCCTGGTGAAAGGAGCGCACTCTGGCCAAGGTCTGGGGAACGCCTTCCTGTCCCACATCAGTGCCTGCGATGGAATCTTTCACTTGACACGTGAGTCACGGGTGAAGGGGTGTTGGTGGCTTCTACACTGTTGTAAATAGCAGGTTGGTATGACTCTTCACATCACCATATATTTCCTAATAAAGGAGCACCTCAGTTCTCCTGTTAAGTGAGTTCCTCAGTTTATGACTTCCCACATGTCTACAGCTGATACGCTGACTGTCACCATTGTAAACCACAACTATTGACACGCTCAGCACAGTCAGGGCGTGCAGCAATGGCTAAAACCCACCCACTGTGTGAAGTTAAGAAGACGTTTCTACGTATGAATAATTCCATTATCCATGATCTGTCTTTTCTTGTCTTGTTAATTCATATAGTTTATTCATGATTAATCATGAATGGTTCTGATTAATCATGATTAATCCACAGGTCAGTACAGTAAAGGCCAGGTTCTTTTAGCCTCGTCATCACTGCTGACTGTGTTAGTTTGACACATTTTAAATCTATAATTGTGGTCCGTGTGTATTTTGAGGTTAATATGTACATGATAAAAAAAAATTAAAAAAACTGGTCCTCACCCAAAACCAACTCTTTTGTTTCTCCTCTGGCAAACAAAGTCACAACAATTGAAAGCAGTGTAAGTGGAGAGACTTCTCTCTCTTTCTTTCTCTGCGTTGTCACGCCATTGTGTGCACTCGCATGAACTCTGTGGAAACAATGGAGTGTAACACAAGTTAACCACTGAACGTGGTCGGTTTGTTTTGTAATCACTTCGGTGCTGTCAGCAGACCTCGATGTCGGAGACACGTTTATATATATATATATATATCCTGATTATATGGTGGTGGCGCATCTCGCTTTTCTTGCGATTGGTGTTGTACTTTTTGCTGGTAATTAGTAGAAGGTCCTATTAGTCATTGTGGTACAAAGAAAAGACGTGAGCACATAATATGCTGTTTTCAGGTGTGCTCAGAAATCCAGCCCGGGTTTGAGAAACCAACCTTTCCTGTCATTTCACTGTTCGTTGGCGTGGACATTAGTTTCTTCAGAAGTCTTGGAAATTAAAACAAAAACACCACAGACTGTGTCGACTGTAGTCTGTATAATGATTTGACACCATTTCTCTGTCCTTCCTGATGAACCTCAACCTGAGACACAGGGACTCACAGTGGAATTGAACCAGGAATAGAACATGGCATGTTCTACTAGCTCTTGGCTTCATGGTGGTTTACAGTTTAAATCCAGCTTAAACCTAAATTTCCCAAAGGGAAACTCTCAAGGGATTAATACAGTTCTATCTATCTATTTGTTTTATTTTACCACATTGTGTCGCTTCAGTTTGGCCCCATAATCTACACCTTTTCATACTTTCAACTCCTAATTGACTTTGGCAGGGCCGTGCAAACAGTAGACTTACTTTCAAAAACCTGGAGGTAAAGCAGACTCACTTGGTTCCCTGACGTTGCCATGGTCTCAC